CCTGCCTGCACCCTGCCTGCACCTGACCCCATCTTCCATCTTGTTCCCTGCCTGCTCCCTGCCTGCTCCCTGCCTGCTCCTTGCCAGCACCAGCCCACACTGCCCAGCCTTTCCCCAGTAACCTGGGGCAGCTCTGCTCCCACTCCAGGGACCCCCAAAACAGGGACAAGTTTGGGGGTGACTGCAAGTCCAGGAGGAGCATGGGGCTGGGAAGCACTGCCAGTTTCCAAGGAGATGGGGGAGAATTACTGGAAAAAGCTGGATTTAGGGACTCACAGCAGAGCTTCCCCACCTGGCGCTGGGACCCCCCAAACCCCCACTCACAGCCCTGGCACTGCCCTTACCTGGGGTTTGGAGGGGTGGTGGGGATAGGGCCAGAGGGCTGGTGTATGGGTTTGGGTTTGGGTTTGGGAGGGTTGAGTTTGGGTCTGCAAAAGTGAGAAAGAGGATTGGGAACGCTGGGTACGGATATGGGGTTGGGAGGGCTGCTTATGGTTTGGCCTTGGGGTTGGGCTTGGTTTGTGTCCTGGACCCCAACCAGGGGGGGTCTACACCCCCCGGGGGGGGGGGGCCTGCTCACTGCAGGGGGGGTGGGCTAAATGACCTCTAAAGGTCCCTTCCAACCCAAAGCATTCTATGATTCTGTGATCCAGTTTGGGGGATTGAAAGGGAAGCACGGACACTGGAAAAGCCCCCAACCCTCCATCCCCAATTTCCCAAAGAGCAGGGGATGACAGGTCCCCCCAGGCCCTGGGGCCATGCAGGGCCAGGGGGGCCAGGGTGGCAAACCCCAGAAGGCAGCCCCCCATGGGTGCAGGGGGACCGTGGCCTTCCCCACTCCCAGTCCATGCTGGGGGCTGTCATCTGGGTGGGAGGGCACCTCTGGACCCCCCTCCCAGCCCTGCAGGGACTGAGGGGGTGCGTGAGGCCTAGAGCCTCCACACACGCACCGCCCTCCCCGCGAACACCCCTCCCATATGCACCCATAGAGCAGAACCGTGCGTGTCTCTAAATGCACATAGTGGGAACGCTCGTATTGGTGCACGTGCATGAAAGGGGGGGGCACGCAGATGCAGACATACATGCGCGTCGGTGAATGCCTATAGCAAAGATGCACAGATGTGTGCATGGCCGTAAATGCACGTGGCACCAATGCATACGGCAGGAACGCGGATATTGGTGCGTATCAGAAATGCCTGTGGCATGAACGCACGTCTTGGCGTGCCTGTATACATGCGTATAGCCCGGGGGGGAACCGGGGC